CCAAAGAATCCCAAGCACAGACCATTACATCGATACTACCATCAAACAGTCAATGTAGTCCTAGCCTGGCTTCTCGAACAGAGATGTAGGTATAGGTGCCTCATAACTTTCTCCAAGGTTTCCTGAGTCATATTCACTGTGAGAATGAGGAGAACATTACTGTCAGCATTGTTGAAAAACTTCAAGTCTTTCTTATACTCCTTCTTGTCTTCAACCGAAGCAGTTTCAGGTAAAGATTCTGGAAGGGTCCCTTCACCTTGAATCTTTGCCTTCGATCACCTCCAATAGTCTAATCAAATAATAATTTTTTGGTAACATGAGTGTGGTAGAAGGTTCTTTAACGGAATTGTATGTTTCTTGGGGTGCTGAATACGAATTTGAAGTTTGTTGCCTCGTAGCAGAACCGGCTCAGGCCGAAAATCGCGAAAAACCTCGAAATTTTCGGACTTTTACCGGTTTTCTGGTCATATCTTCCAAACGACGCATCATACGGAAAATTTCATTGTATTCAAAATTGAGGAGCATGAAATTCTGCGTGGAATGATCTCCCTATTCTTGTTCTGTTAAATTTATAAGCTTGCCATAGTCAGTCGGAAAAAGCCAATTTTAGTAAACTTTTGTGAAAACTGCAATAAACTTCCTTTTAGACGACAGTGATTTCAAAACAACCACTCTACGTAAAAAAATCTTTGAATAAAAGTTGTACTTAACCAAATATTGAGTTCAGTGAGAACCAAAATTTTAAATTTCTATCAATATATACGCATATACTGATCATTTCTTCATTTTCCCTCTAAACGCTTATTTGACAAAATGAAGGGGTCCAATAATAAAAAGTCTGTGGCTGTCAATATAAACTTCTCAAACTCCACTTGTCATCCCTAAATTACTTTCCCCTCCATTTTTTGTAAGTCTGACTTGAGGATTTATAAGTATTATGTATGTAGATGTAATAAGAAGTAATCAAATCAAATCAAAAAGTACCTACTTTATTGTCCAGAAAAAAACTTTTCATTGACAAAGCATATCAACTTAAATAATAAAACCTAATATCTATCAGAAAAATTTAAAAGTTTACCTACGTTGGAAATAATATCTATGTAGAGAAGAATTCTTCGATATTATAGTAAGCTTTGGTCAAGAGTAACTTCCTTACCCCCTTTCTAAACCTCCTGTATGAACGTGAAGACCTAACGCTAGATGTTAGAAAATTGAAGGCTTTCTTGGAACAATAACAAAAAGACTTCTCCACCAAAGTGGTTCTGGGAATTGGCACTGGAACATTATTAGCTTGCTTAGTTGAATAGTGCCTTACCAAAGAAAGTTGGTCATAGTTTTTCCTCTACTGCAACAGCCCCAAAATGCAATAATTCCATAAGTAATGTGTGACTCCAACAGAGAAAAATATGCGGTCCTGAGAGCTCGCAGCTCCAAAAATTAGTACCCATTCACAGATTTTTTTTTTTTATTCATTTATTACATTCAGATTAACAAGATGAGAGAATATATACATATTATGTACCTACATATTGTGGGGAAAATCATGGAAAGACCCATATAGTCAGCTGAAGAAAAAGAGCAAGTGTGTTGTAGTATAGTGTGGAGATACGCTCTTTGGAGAATACCTGATAGCAATGTCCATTTCATTTTACTCTCCTTTGTAAGTAAGTTTATTGCAGTTTTTACAAAAGTTCATTAAAATTGGCTTTTTTGGACTGACGATGGCGAACTAATAATTTTAACAGTAATAATGTTAGGAGGGAGGTTATTCGACGCAGAATTGTATGCTCTTCAAGTTTGAATATCGTGATATTTTCCGGACGATGCGTCGTTTGCGCGATATGACCAGAAAACCGGAAAAAGTCCAAAAATTTCGAGGTTTTTCACGTTTTTCGACCTGAGCCGGTACTGCTACGAGGCAGCAAACTTCATATTCGTATTCAGTATACCAAAAAACATATAATTCCGTTGAGAAACCTTCTACCGGACTCATGTTACGAAACAGGCACTTTTGAATACTTGAAATACTTCGCAACAAAATACTCAACTTATGCAGTCAAGTTGTCTGATTTGGTTTTCCTCCAAAATTCAATTTTTTCACTTTCCATTTTCTATGCCTTAAATGATCTATCTTGGGTTCTACTTGCTTAATTATAATAATTTAAAATAATCAAGGGGAATTCACCAAAACACAAACATAAAGGATGGATGACTGAAATGTAACGTTATAACAAAAAAGAAAAGCTCTTGAGTAAAAAATGTCAATCACTTGAGTTAGCTTTTGATTACAGTTACTGTGAAAACATACCATTCTAAAATGTCTATATTTAAATTATTATTTAAAATCCACTAATCAAAACTGTAAAATTAGGTTTTTTTTATGGTCGTCCATTAAATTTTAATAATTGTCAATCAAAATCACATAAAATTAAAATAATGTAACACCTCTCCTGGCTCTACTGCTAGGCCTGAAATACCAGTTTTTCAGTTCGTCTTGGGCTAGAGAAGAGTTTTTGGAAACCTACCGCTAAAAAAATACCATGGAATTATTTATATTTCAATGCAAAAAAAAAATTAAGCAATAAACATAAATTTTTCCAGTTATCAACCAAGCGTGGAATGACGTGATAGCCAGTCATATACATAAAATATTCAATCAATTTCAATTAATAGAATGGAATCGGTTATCGATATTTAAATTATACATATTTCTGGCTAAACAACTAAATAATTACTCATCAAAATAAGTTTATTGCATTTAACTGGAATTTAATTAAAACAATTTATATTAATTTTTATCAATAATTGACGATAACTAGTTTAGTTTAATTCTTCGATAAGAAAAAAACTTTGCATACCTAGTGAAAAATATTACCTACTATGGTAATCTCAAAATTTACAAAATATAAATGTACGGGTTGCGTTATTTCCTGACGAAACTTTGACCCATCTTATATCATAAGGGGGCCGCAAAACTTTTCAAGACGGATGAGGATCGAAAAGAAGAAGCTTGACGTTATGTCGAGAATGCCGCAACTTATATGCTCTGCAACCTTTGGCATTGCGAAGAGGCTTCTGGTAAAGATTTAGGTCAATTTCTATTAACAAACAATTTGAACTTTGAACCAACACGTGGTCCAAGGGCAAAAGAGGGGTTGTTCTGGACTCTTGACGAAAACTGGTTATAATCACACTGAAGCCAGTTCACAAGCTTCCAGAAAACAAGTTGTCGAAAATAAATATATGAAGTTGTCTTTTGAGAGAACAAGTTAGTGGTATAAGTTCCTACAACAAGTGCCAGAATTATTTTGTGAGCAAACCGATTTCCTGACTTTTGCTTAATAAGGAAGAGTGCAAAATTTAATTATGCTCGGTAGATTTTTCCCATCAATAATGTCTAATTAAAGTGTCCCCTAGACATACAAAAAAAAAAAAACTTTAATCCCAAAGCTCCCAATCTCTTCAAATTCTACCCCTTTAGCCGATTTCGCACACGTGCATTCGCTCAACAATTACTTTTAAAAAAAAATTACCAAAATAATGGGGTCTAAAATTACCGAATCTCATAAAAGAGTCCTTTGAAAGGCCTCGCTGGCTCGGCGTTTCTTATTTATCTTTAACCCTTTTTTTAAAATCCGAATATATAAAGCTTCCAGCTTGTACTTTTTGTGTAGAGGCTCCGTATAGCCAACATAAGCTGAGCTTTTGATTTGAAAATTTAACTGGACCATTTTTGTCGGCCCTACACGACAGTGCAGTTTTATTAGGGGCACTTTTAAATTGTCTGGAATTTTTATTTGGACGATTGTGGATTTTGAAATTTTATTTCGAGACCTTGGACACTTTGCTTGAACTACTTTAATGTAATCCCAGAATTAAAATCTTGGCTACGAAATTCCTTTAAACTAAATTTATTATTATTGTTCGCCAGCAAATTAAACTTATTTCCCAAAAAACAATGCATTCCTTTAATAAAAGTTTGTAAATATAACTTAAGCACAAGTGCTACAGATACTGAGACAGTAAATTAGTAAACTTAAATATAAAACTGAGCCAAGTAACTTTACCCCAACCAAGTTTGGATCTAGACGTAGGATCATGAATTGATACACAGTTTTTGAATAATCATACAGTTTCCTATGTAGGTACAGCTTTTGAGTAATCATACAGTTTTGTATATTTTCGTGGTTCTCCATTCGTTCGTAGGTCGATCGAGTGTACGCCACTGGTGTTTTCCTGTTTCTGACTATTCCCTCAACCTTTCCATGTTACTATGAATTCAATCCTATGTACAGTTTTAATGATACTAATTGATCTATCCAATGCTATCTAATTTCAAATTCCTCCCTCTTGCCCTAAATTCAAAAAACCCTTCATTGAACAATAAAAAATCGCCATCTGTATCATATTCCAAAAATATTATGACAATGAACCAATAGCGCGTAAAATCCTCCGTTCTTTTTTCAAAACCCAATACGCACATTTGCTCTCTCATCCGCAGCAGCCTTTCAGCAAAATTTAAAATTAGTATTTCGGTCCGATACGGGGACCCTCCGGGATTATTAAAAACACAGACTATCAAATTTTAACCCTTCAAATTTGACGTGCATGGGGCCCTTTCCACCCTTTTTTTAAAAGTATTAAAAGAGGTTTGAATCACGTATTATGGGGGCACCACCATTTCGGTTTTATATAAGGTTTTATAAGATTTTTATTCGGCGATATACGGGTGCGTTCACTCTTTTTATGCGTTCGTGGTTTTATTATACTTTTGAAGATGTGTTGTCACAAAATTTATTGAGCTACATTAAAAAAATAACTTCTGGATAATGCAGCATAGAATTTTTAGCAGTAGATTTCCCCAGTTCAACTGAACCTACCAGCATATTTGTAGCAAAGATAAAAATGAATATGAAAAGTTCAAGAATCGACTGCAAAATTATATTCCATAAATTTCTGGTGAAACAACTTATATTCAAACTCAACTCTTTCTTTTCCAGCAATGTTGCACCAATCGATGTCAACTTCTTTACACTCCCGCGACTCCTTATCAACATCTGGTCTTCTACTGAACAAGTCCTCTACAAATGTAGACTACTCCAAGTACGTCAAAAAGTTTTCATCTAGCATCGACTGCGGCAGCACCTACTGCAAAGACCTCAACTACAGAGAGCATTTCCATTGTTTAGACTGCAACTCTCGCGTTTTTATCAAAAAAGAAGAAATGATCCGTCATTTTAAATGGCACAAGAAACGCGACGAGTCTCTACAGCACGGTTTTATGCGCTACAGTCCATTGGACGACTGCAGTGACAAATACTCTAATTGTACGCACAATAAAAAACAAACTCACTATCATTGCATCCAAGAAAATTGTGATAAGGTTTACATATCAACTAGTGACGTGCAGATGCATAGTAATTATCACAGAAAGGATAGTGCTATTATGCAAGAAGGATTTCAGAGATATAGAGCGACTGAAGAATGTGGTGCCTCTTATTGTGCATTTTTTGGACAGAGAACTACGCATTTTCATTGTAGAAGGACTGGGTGCAGATATACTTTTAAAAATAAATCTGATATGGGTAGGTATTCTTAATGTTCGTATAGCAATTCTAATACTAAACTAATTTTTCTTTTCCAGAAAAGCACAAAACTTACCATATTAAAGACGAACAACTCGCCCGTGACGGTTTCAAAAAATTCATGAAAAACGAAGCATGCCCCTTCGAAAATTGTCGCTTTTCGAAAGTTTGTAATCACATCCATTGCATCCGACCACAGTGCTCTTACGTCCTCCATAGCTCTGGCCAACTGTTTTCTCACAAGAGAAAACACGAACGGAAAGATAGCGAATTAGCTTACAGAAAATATAAATTAGCTCAAAGTATGATGAAAACTTTGTCCGAAGGCGGAAGTGTTCCTGCTCAAACAAGTGCCGGACAAATAAATCCTTTTTTAAGTAGAGATTATGAAGCTCAAATTGATATAGCTAATTTTTACAATCAACAAAACTCTTTATCCAATATGTCGAACATATCAAACACTGAAAGTTTAAGCGATAGGAACTCTCCATTGAGCTACAATGATGAGTCAGAAGGTGCATTGGCAATGGACTTGAGTGCTAGTGAAGCTTCTAATTTTCCCACTCAAGAAGACACTTTATTAGTTGAAAATTTTTGGAGAAAATATTTTCAATTTATACCAGAAGGTCAACCATGTAACTTAAAAGACAACTGTGACTATAATTTCACAGAGCATTTTCATTGCCTGCAAGATAATTGTGAAGTTACTCTAACAAATAAAGAAGGTGCTAGAGAGCATTCAAGAAATCACGAACAACAAGAAATCATTACAGATAATTACTTTTCGTTATCAGAAATCAATGAGCCTTGTGAAGATCAAAGTTGCATCTATCAAAACAAAGAAAAACATTATCATTGCAACTTGGATAATTGTCGTGAAATCATTTTATCTTCCGATAAACCCTTTAGACGTTTGGAGCATTATAAAATGCACCAGTACAGTCAAAAATTGAGTTTGACTAAAGATCCTTTAACTGCTACTCATTTAGCAACAAGCATTGATGGAATGTTTTGTCGAAAACGTGGAAGACCTCCAAAAAATCGTGTCATTGAAGTTTGGAATAATGATTATAACCCACAAAGCCTTATGGAGAGTCCTCAAGCGATTTTTACTAGTTTCAAACTACCAAAACCATCTACAACTCCATCAAATATCAAAGAGGTAATGGAAAATGATGAAGACGATCAAAGAAGTCATCATTTTAGTGTCGATTATGCAAATATTCTACAATCTTTTGATAGTTATAGTGAAAACACTAAATGCCCTGACACATTGTGCTCTTATTTAGGCGCAGCACACTTCCATTGCAACAGAAAACGTTGCTTATGCTCCACCGATCAAATGGAATACCTTATAAACCACGCCAAAGACTTCCATGAAAATCTTGAAATCCTGGAAGGTTTTGAATTCTACGATCGCATGGTTGATTGTAGACTACAAGGGTGCGCATCTAATAAAATCAACAGGCATTTTCATTGCACGCGTCCGAATTGCAACTATAGCTTCGTACAATACAGTCAAATGACTATTCATAATCAAAAACATGAAGCCGGTCCTAATTTTCCAAGTATTAGGGTGAAAAGCGAGGACTTGTTAGTGGAAAAAGAAGAAGCTAAAGGTCACGGTATGGAATTGGCTGGAGCTGTTAACATGAGTCAGGGTCAGGATAATATTAATAAAGTTTCAGGTAAGTTTTGTTATTTTTGTTTTTTATAGATAATTTTTGTTAGAGCAAATCGGTTATGTGTATACAGGGTGATTCTTTCACATTATTATAATTTTTGGTGCCAAATGAATAAGACCCAAAATATAGAAAACCGTATTTCTCAAAATTGTTAGATCAACTTTCAAAAGATATGATTACGATTACAGTTTCTTATCTTTTGGTGGAGGTGTAATTTTATTAAGTTATTGTAATTATTTTGAAGCACTCTATGCCTTCATCAAAATAAATTTTCAAGTTAAGTGTTTTACAGAAAACGTTAAGTAATTCTTAAGTCAAATGAGATTGTGAGCCAAAATTAGCAAAGATCTAAAAAGGTTGAGTTAATTAGTCTGCCACTAATACTTTGATTACAAATCATGATACATTATTCTTAGTGGTCATCAATAATTGTGTATTACAGTATTATTGTATTAGTAGGTAGGTATCTAGTTGATTAACAACAATATAGGCAATATATGAATCACTCTGTATATTAAATTATTGTAAACAAAATCCTATTATGTAAATAGCATCAACTTATTGTTTCTAGTGGTGAGGGCTTCGGGGACCTTTTACCCTATTTCTACGTTACCACCGGTATCGGTGGAACAGCGATCTTCACCGACCAATCATGTCATTTTGACAGGTACGAAATAAGTACTAACCATCAAAAATGGCCTCTGGTGAATCCCAGTCTTGCGTATTAACTTTTTCAAAATGACTTCTAACAAATTTGTGCTTGATTTAACTGCTTCAATGGCTGCAACTGCAATTATTAGTGAAACTGTTGGTGCTTAGTGAAGTCAAAAACATCTTTATTGATTTCGCCTTTATCTTTATTAACATCCTTTCACTTCCTCCTCAATATTGATTTATCCCATAATGACAGCATGCTCTAACATTTCACTGACTGAACAATGATTTAATTATTGAATTTTATTCCAGATCATTCTCAAACTCTACCTTCATCATTCGATCCTCTAAGTGCTCCATCTACGACCCTCTACGGACCGGAAATCTCTTGCAGCCGTCCGTTTTGTAAACTAAAACGCAAGCCCCATTATCATTGCAACGCTTGCAATCAAGCATTTTCCGAATTGGACAAGTTGCTACCTCACGTTGCACGCCATAGTAATAGTGCTTTCCAAGTTTCACCGATCAGACCGAATGAAACAAATACCTCGGAGAGGGATGGTGAAGGCAATAATAATGGTGTCAGAGAAAGAGGAGAGAGTAGTCCGGAAAATTTTAATTTAGAGAGGAGGAGTAGTGAGACGCAGCAGAAGATCAGTGTGGCTAGTTTGTCAAGTTTGCAAGGCAATAATCAGGTAGGAATTATTACTACTGTTAATTTTTTTAACGGAACTTGGATACTGTTGTCCACAAACCCAGAAAAACCTTAACCACAGTCCTCAGATAGTTACTGATTCTCTTTAATCCTTATTTCTTTTGTAGGTTTCTTTAGACAAACACCAGACGCCTAAAGAACCTTCTACACCCGAAGGTACCCCTTACTTTTCGACGCCAACCTTTGATGCTTACAACCATTTCAGTCAATTTCCACCAAATTTCGCTACTCAAATCGCTCTGATGCAACAACAAAACGCCTTTTTGCCCCAAAGCTTATATCAACAAGCCATCCCTTCACAAATTATGTTTCAACATGCTCAATTGATGCAGAGTCCTCTTTTGGGGCATCAGAACATCAATGCTTTTCCGGTAAGAACTAGCGACTGATTTTTTTTTGAAGGTATTTAAAACTTTTCTGTTTTAGGCTGAAAATCTTACGTCCCCTTTGGCAGCAATGGCAGCCAATCTCAACAAAAGATCGATGAGTCCTCATGATATGAGTCCTGATGCCAAAAAAGCCAGAATCCAGAATTCGATGAGGATTTTGAAAGATGAACCTGTTCCAGCTGGTTACCTGAGGTTCAGATTCAATGAGGTGAGTTTCGTTGTTTAGAGTAAATCAGAAGTTTTTGATTTCCATTTGCCTGAGTGTAGTTCAGGACGCGACGTTTCGCTCCGTAATGGGTTACCAACTATTATGTATTTGGAAGTTTAATAAATTTAAAATGGTTTCCACCGCTACGGACTGTAGAAGCCAAAACCCTACCGACTTTTCTAGACAAACCAGAATTGCGTGTAAAATTGCCATCAACAAAATTAATTTTTGAATTATTCCTATTTTTTTTGTAAATGGGGCAATAAGGCTCATATTTTGATGAAATGTGGGTATGTTTGTTTTTATTTAGGTAGGTAGTATGTGTAGTGAAACCTTAATTAAAATTGTAAGGCTTTAATTCACAAAACTTCTCCACCCTGTGGACTGGGACTGGACTGAATTGACGATCTGCTCTGAAGATTGGCTTGGTTACCTAATGATTCATAATCAGGCTCCGGTTCCTGGTGTGAGACATTTTCGTCTTTTTCTAGTTGATACCCAGACGTTTTCCTGTTTTCAGGAGTTTCTGGATATTCACATGTTGTATATAATTCTCTTATGTTTGGTTCGACGGGTTGTAGAAGACTGGCGTCTCCTCTAGGGGCTAAGTGTTTTAAAGATACTGTAGCTTGTCTTCCATCACCATGACGAATTAATGCATAATCTGGATTAGCTTCAATAAGTTCTACCTCTTCCACCAAGGGGTCGTATTTGCTACGACGGACATCATTCCTTAACAGAACAGTTTGGGAATGCGTCAACCAGGATGGCACAGAAGCTCCATTAGTCGAACGACGCTGATGAATAAACATTCTTTCGTGTTGGGTTACAGTTAAGGTTCACAGTAAGAATCGGATTGAGTGAAGAGCATCAGAAAGAACTATTCCCCATTGAGATATTGGTAGATTTCTAGTTCCAAGTGCAAGGCTCACTGTTTTCCAAATAATACCATTATATCTCTCTACCTGACCATTGCCTTCAGAATTATATGGTGTTGTTCTACTAGTAACTATACCTTTGGAATTTGGATTGCTGGAAATCGAGTCAATTCGCCTGACATAAAAAAAGACCCACGCTTGAAATGGATGTAAGATGGCATACCAAATACATAAATTTGTCGAATATCGTCCATTGAATAGAGGAGGTTTCTAATACGTACAAAATGGTTCATTTTTGAGACTCCTGAATGACACAAATCTTGATGAAGTTGTGTCGGTCATGATTTTCTTGATCCATTCCATAAATTGTCATCATCCAAATAAGCAAATACAGCTTTCAAGCGCTCTTTCTCAATTATATTATCAATAACCCTTTGAAAGTCAGATACTCCATTCGTTACTCCAAAAGGGATGCGTCGAAAATGATAAAGTCGTCCACCTGCTTCGAATGATGTAAAAGGTTTGTCATTATTATGTATTGGAATCTGATGATACGCACTTTTTAAATCAAGCGTACTGAAAACTTGAAATTTTGCGACTTTGGAAACGAAGATCTCAAAATTAGGTAATGGGTCTAGCAATAATGTATACTTATTAACAGTTTGAGAATAGCCCACTACCATTTTGCGTTTATGATTTTAGTTTCTTGTAACCAAAACTTGAGCATGCCAAGGTGAAGTACTGCTTTCAATAATTTCTTCTTGAAGTAGTCTCTTAACTTCCACCTGAATGAAGGACTGATCTTCTCCTGAATGACGAGACTTTGTAGCAATTGGTTTGCAGTCTTTTGATAAATTAGAAAATATTGGGAGAGGTTCTACTTTAGCTTGAATAAGGCAGCAAATCGATAAAGTAGGTTTTGACCCACCAAAGAACATATCAACTCGGTCATGTTGTTTTATCACATTATAACATCAGTACACAGTTTTGGCAGGACAGAAAGCTTTAAATTGGGATAACTAACTGGAAATTAACCAAACAAAATCCTTTTATATCAGAAGAACAAGTAGTTGGAGTCATACAAACTTGGCCAAAAGATGAATAAATTTGAAGATTATTTTTAAGAGCAAACTCATAATCTAAGAAGCTCTCAGAGCTACCAGTATCAATAAGAGATTTAGCTGGAATGCAGTTGATTTTTGATTCTACTAAAGCTTTGTATAAGCACTGGGAAATGAAGCTGAAGCGATAATTGATGCAGAGGCTATAGTCGATTTACTTATAGACTTTAGTTTCATACATACGCGTGAAAAATGACCTTAGGCTGGAACTCTCAAAACATTCTCAAAGTTTGTAAAACTGGTCGATGTTTTCACTAACCTGCTGTTTCCTTGAAGCAAGTAAATGTCTAGCCTAAACTTCATCTGGCTGCTTAACGTATAGAGCCTAGAGTATTTGGACAACAGTTGCGTAAGTTGAGCAGTCGTTAATGAACTCATAAACGGAATGTGAAATAAAATTGATCAATAATTAGAGCTTCTCCTTATCTTCGCATGAGTCCATAAAGTTTTGAAAAGTTGTGAACCAGTGATTCCATTCTTTAGATGCAGTGTTACTGTTAGGGTCAGCTTCAAATCTTTCAGGCCTTAAGAGTTTGTCCCTTACGGATGGATATACTGCAGTAAACAATACTTGGTTCAATATTTGTGAATTAAATTATAGTGAAACCTTTATTAGAATTGTAAGGCTTTATTTAATTCACAAAACTAAAGGTTGACTAAGTTAATAGTTATTTATGGTACTAGTGTGTTATGTTGAAAATAAGTCACGCGAGAAAAATTAATACCCAGAAACCGTCAGGCCGAGTGGTATAATTTCTCGAGTGACTTAGAAAACATAGCACACGAGTAGCATACAAATGTTTTATCCAACAACTGAGAAATCATAACACACGAGCAGCATATAAGAACTGAAAAAACTAACAGATTTTTTTTCGGGAATGAGTCTTGTTTAAAGCAGGATTTATAAATTTTTATTTCCTGACTCATCCATTACTCACTAGTGTGTTATTGGATAGTTTACTTGTCTAAAATGACATTAATAATAACAGTTTTAACTGTCATGTGTTAGATAAACTCTATTTTCAGAGGTTGCCTAGTGTGTGAAAAACTCTATTTTCAGAGGCAGTTGTAGGAAATAGTTATTTATGCAACAAGTGTGTAAAGTAAACCTTTTTTCACGAATGTGAATTTTGACGCACGAGCCGAAGGCGTGTGCGACAATCACATGTGTGTGAAGTGAATTACTTTACGCACTAGTGCGTGAAGTGTAATTTTACGCCTTCTGAATAGTGCGTAAAGTGAGTACTTTACGCACGGTAGTAGAAAAAAGATATTTCGACTTATTTTTGTAGAACATGTAGTGTCTTCTGTTATATCAGGAATACAGTTTTTTTTTATATATTTTTTGCATTCAATTTATAAAGGGTCCACTGAAACTTCACTAGCCCCGGGCCCCATGAAAGCTTAATCCAGCCATGGTACTGCATATATTTATTATTAGTGAACTATCTTTTAGATAAATATGTTTTCCTTGTCTGTGAGTTCTATCTACATTCAAACTTATTTATGTACTATGTTTTAGTCCCAATTTGGTCAACTATGCAATGAAAATCAACTTTTAATGCTGTAGCTGGAATGCAACTTTCAGCTAAAGCATTTTTGTTTTACAATAAAAATTTGAACATACAAATAATGGCATAATTAAATATATACCTGAAGATATAAGTGTTGAAAAGTCAAAGTTACACCTTCTAATTTGTTCCAGGATTGCAAATATCAACATTGTGGCTACAGAGAGCACCAAACTCACTTCCACTGTCAAAGACAAGATTGCGGGTACTCGTTTTGTGACAAGACCAGATTCGTGCAACATACTGCTCGCCACGAAAGGCTGGATACTCTGATGGGTGGCGATTTCCAGCAATACAGGGCTAATGTTGCTTGTGGAAGGCAGGATTGTGCTTATACTGCTAATTTAGGTAAGTGTTTGTCAGGAAATCAAATATTTCTCCTCGTTCTCCAGCTCTACATTATTGGATTATTGGATAGTTCCTTCCATGCCTCATTTCCTCATTATCTTGGTTTTATTAATATTTATTTTCAATTAATGTGTCATTCAGCTTTAATAACTTGGATGCTAGTACTGACTTATTAAATCTACGTCGTCGACCTCTCCCACCCATACTTCCCCCTTCCCCGTGCCTAGCATTATTGTGATTTATCCCCAAGAAATATTTTGTCAGTTTTAAGTTCTCCATCGAATTATCATTTTTAATGATTTTGAAATACTGAATAGACTTATCTATTCCAGGTTCTACCCAAAACAAAGCATCTCATTTCCACTGTCTCAAATGTGAATTCGTTTGTACCGATACCAACAAAGTGGTCGCTCACAGACGTCAGCACCAAAAACTGGACAGCATCCAAGCTGCAGGGTTCGAAAAATTTACCCCCAGCCAAGTATGTCGAGTACAGAACTGCCAGCACAGCGGCAAACAGACGCACTATCACTGTTTGAGCTGCCAATATGCTGTATTGGGCCTGGCGCAGATGAGTGCCCATAAATACAGACATATGGAAGGATGAAGTAAGGAACATATCATAAATAAAAAATCGAGCAATACTTTCATGTAAATTAAAAAGGAGACAAGGATAATGTACAAATTTTTTTTAGTCCTATAAGTTTTTGCGATAATAATTATTGTAAATAATTTATTTGTACAAAATGTGAAAAGATATATTACCTCATGAGGAGTGTTTGTGTGTAAGTTAGACTCAAAGTTAAAATAAATGGCCTAAATGTCAAGAAATATTCTAAAAAATAGCTCATAATAAGTATTTGGTAGCAATTTCAAGTGCATAGATTCTGTTGTTGCCATTTATCTTACATTTGACAACAATGGGATTTTAATTGAAAACTCATGCCCTTTTACATCGCCTTTTAAAAAAAATAAAATGCTAATTTTTGAAATCTTTTAATTTGTCTATCTATTTACCCATTATCGATACATATTCAAGAGTTAGCATTTTTTTGCAAATTGAAGGGCAACATTATACTATACCTACCAGTTTGTGATAAGTTTAAAAAAAGAGTTTTTAGTATTCTACTATAATATTTAAGCACAAAAAATTAAAATATATATATTTATAGATAGATTTTTAGGGATCAAATTCTTGTAACAGAATAAAAGACAAAACAATGTAGTATTTCTAGAATCTTTAGTTCTTCTTATTTTTCTTAGAGGTTTATATTTTAGATTTAGCGTTACCTACATAATATAGAAGAGGCCTTTTTTGCGAATAAACTAGATAGATTTTGTGCCTTAGGGAAAAGACATATAATAAAATAATCATGTGCCTTTTTGGTACCCACAGTTTTTTCATAGAAATTTTAATTTTTTTATTAGACAGAAAACAAAAAATGTCATTCCATATTGTACCACATGTGCCATAATATACAATACAAAACAACAGTTTGTAGTTTTTCGTAGATGATAAAAAAATACTTATTAATTAATTATTATCCTTTTTTTTTCTGTATTATTTTCATGTGAATCGTTTGCCATATAATTTATTGTAGGCCGCTTTATTTTTTTCTTTTGTTCATAGCTAGTCTTTTGTTTTTCTCTTTCTTTTGTTTATTTTAATTGTAAATATTTATTATTTTGTGCATGGCAAGATCTGATCTTCTTTTTTTTTGTTTTACATTGACAACCTAGTTGGCAATTTAATAAATGTTGTTTAGCTTTTACTTTTTGAAGTCTTGATGAAATACATAGTTATTTCATTTTTTTTCTACAAGAAAAATTTTACGATTCTTTAGAGATGCCACTAGTATCTGTTTGTATATTATTTCACTAGGTTTATCTTTTGATTCCTTTTGATTTGTTCAATAATGGCGTTGGACAAAATAATTTTATCAAGAGTGTAGTGTATATCTTTTACTGTGATTATGTTTTTTTAACTATCAGTATTTAATAAAAAATACTATTTATATCAAAGAAATTGTTTTATTTACTCTTTACTTTATGTTGCAGTTATTGGGCGACAAATTACTATAATAAGTTGTTTCAATTAAAATACTAAAAGAATTTGGGATTTGGTGGGGCTTCAATTTCTATTCAGAGCCTTCAGGGTTGCAATTATACGGCATTGCAATTTGCAATATTCAAGATTGGCTTAGTCAGTTTTGTAATTTCAAATGAAAAATCATGTGAGTGTCTGTCAACAATATCATCGTTTAGCTCACGGATGATTAACTGAACGCGTCTTGTATAAGATGATTGCAGAAATAGATTTTTGATTGATAGTTATTCTATTGTTTCTAGTTTCTAGCAAGTTACCATTGTCAAATGGCCTGAAATTAGAACTCTGAATTAAAAAATAGATTAAATTTCAAGTTCAAATTTTCCATAATTCAAAGGGAGCAACTTTCATAGGAAAAATGTGAATGTTGTTAATGTCACATTTAAAATTAAGAATATTAGTTTTTGAAACCACTCAAATGTGATCGCAACCACTCGAAAGCGAAACCCCCAATACCATAGATATACTAATAAGTTAACCTAGCAGTATTCCATGATCTACATAATCAAATACCTTGGACAGATCACGGAACACCGCTGAAGCCTTTTTTTTGTCACTTTAACCACCCTTCTGTAAGTTTTTCAGTATAATTTTTAATAATTAATGAAAGTTTCATTCGAATTATAGAACTTTTTGATATACATATCGCATATATCTTAAGTTAGCAGCTAATGTTCTCAAACCCCTTGTCTTCTTTATCTTGACAATAGGAAAAGAAATGTTAAAGTTATTGCTTAAAAGTAGATGTATGTGCTCCAAAGAGTCTTCAGTTGAAAATATTCTATTTCAGACCGTTTGATTGGAGAACAACCCAAACTTCTTAAAAATTTTCTAGTGAAAAGTCTGCCTTGTTTAAATATTTTTCTTCGTTTAGCGGAAATGAACAGATAATCCAGCAATAATTGTCGAATACAGAGTTCCATCTGACTAAATGATGAGCAGACATAATCTATTAAAGTAGAGTTACTAGTTAGTTAGGTAGGGGTTATTCTTCTTGGTTTGGTAACAAGAATCGAGAGATTATAAGAACTTAAAATATTTTTTAGAAACACAACGTTTCGACAGGATTGATTCAAATAGTCAACGTTAAGGTCACCCACAACAATTATCAAAGTATTACTGGATATCTCTGAAAGCAATATAATATCCCGCTTTTCAAAAAAGATATTTCTGCGATTGACAAGAAATGTCAGCATTTTTGACCGGTTGACAGTTCGCGAAACTCAATATTCTGGTATTTCAATTATGTTTCAATAGTTGCTAAGGAATCAATAAATAACAATACGGGAAACACTTTTCCAGCCTAGGCTAGGCTGGAAAAGTGATTCTCGTGCTGCTGAATAATTGGAACCAAAAGACAAACATTTAACAGGTATTTAACCGATCGCAGAAAAAATAGTATGTGTATTTCAGTGGAAAAGCACATTCTCGGCCTTCGGTGTTTGCCGGCCTCGGCTACGCCTCGCCCGTCACTGTCGGCCGAGAATGTGTCACTTTTCCACCTAAATACACAATATACTATTATATTTGACACAGGGGACCCGTAAAAACCCAAAGCATACAATTTCAGACTAGTGCAAAACACAATTGAAAACTCGCACACTCATTACAGTTGAATATCCAGGAACTCAATTTATTTATCAAGTACCCACATTACAGAACAAGACAAGAAATAGAGTTAATTAGTCATCTATATGTCAGTCGAGCAAAATCTGTCGTAGTTCTTCACCATTCTGTCAACAAAAAGCTTGTTTGGTGCTTGAATATTTTTGGGTAGTCCTTATTTTGCAGAGTGATTTTTGGGTAGTCCTTATTTTGCAGAGTGATCTGCTCAGCTCTTTCTAGGGGTGACCATAACAGAAATAGCTGTAATGCTGCTTAGATGAGAATCAGCCTTTGTCAGGAAGATTATTATTCAGTTTTGGTGGAGGAACTTGAATTAACATTCAAAGACATGGAAACAAAAATAAACGTGTGCCAAACACTTAGAAAGATGGTCACATATAACACTTGAATATGTTACCTAACTATAAATGATACAAGTCCCTCAGGAAATTCCCTATCCAAACTTTCCATTAAACGGAACAAGATTCAGACAGTTAATAATTTCCAAATTCACTTGAAAATCTTGACACTAGACAAAAACCAAAGATAATAAAACACAAATTTAAATAAATACAATAAGTATCTATTTATTAACATTAAAAAAAAGTTCTCAAACAGACTCCTGTACTGGTGGTTCATAGCCCTCAGGTCTGTCAACTTTAGCACCGGGGTCACCGGAGCCTTCGCCTGATCCCTTGGAATCACCATGGAGTTCCAAAAGTTTGGAGAGTTCGTAACGTGGCTTTTTGAGGACCTAATATGGAATAATGCTTTGCTTTAATAATTTACTCATAAAGTTTTTGTTGTAGTAATTCATTAACAATAATTTGTACTCATCAGAATTTTAAAAAAAATGCGTCTTTTGGGAACAAGAAGGTTATCTTCATGTATGTATCAAAGCGAGCTGAGTGTCTCATCATTCAAGTACAATAATAAATAATGATTTTAGATGGAACAAAACATATGTGATTATGTTCTGGAAACTGTAGAAAAAACCACTTACCTTTACTTTACGGATATATACATCATGAAGAGGGTAGATGCCTTGGCAGGCCTTTTCAATATCCTTGGCAATACTGTCAGGAAGCAATTTGTTTACAACTTCTTTCAAGTCAGACCCTTGGATGTCCCTAGTGATGATGTCAACCATTTTTTTCCTGATTTGTCTGATCTACCAAAACAAAAACCAATTAGGAAATGATATTTTTTTGTTTGATTTTAGAAAGTAGTAGAAACATTTCATGGTTCATCAGAAATTGAAATATATTTGCGTCATTTGGGAACAAGAAAGTTATCTTCATGTATGTTTCAAAGCGAGCTGAGTGTCTCATCATTATAACCATGAATTGTATTGAATTTATATATTATGGAAAAAAAAACTACTTACTTGTGTATGCTGGGCATAGCATGTTTTCCTTTGCGAAAATTGTGAATCTTTTTGGGTAAAACCAATGCAGAACACCCTCAACAAGTATCCGTCAGATGTTTTTACGTCAGCAGAAGCTTCAATGAGGGACTGCCATTTTTTGACCATAGATCTCAACTTGTCAGTTGTCAAATCCATACCGTGGAAATTGGTAAGGACATAACGACCTTAAAATGAACAAAACAAAGAAAGTTACTTCAATGTTTTTTTTTTTAAACTATTGTGTAATTTAACTAAAAAGGCCTCAAGTCAGAACTAAAATTAAATTTGCGTCTTTTGGGAACAAGAAGGTTATCTTCATGTATGTATCAAAGCGAGCTGAGTGTCTCATCATTTTAAGGACCGAATTTTTTTCATTGGTATGGATAGTCTAGCAAATTTTAAAAAAATGGATATAACTTCTCCAAATAATGTTATTCAAGTTTCCTATTTGTTTTGTCCAGCCTTATGTATAAATATTAAGTTACCTAGTTGTACTAAAACTGATTCAATTTTTTCAGATAGTGACATATTTAGGTGCCCCATTTTCACATACAAGCCTTGAAGAGGGTTGAAAAGTACATCGATTTTGAGTAGGATGAAGGTATTTTCACGGGTGGCTCCTGGGAATAACGTATGGAAAATTCGATTTTCCATGGCAGAAATGAAAGACGTCCTGGTGCCCATATTTTCTCGCTAGCCGTGTCACCAAAGGATTAATAATATATAAGGAAAAATCGAGATTTTGGGCAATTTTTTCACAAAAACCCATGGGAAGGATAAAAAGCTACCAAGTTGGTGGCAAGAAAACATATTGGCTTGAGTGTCACGAATGGAAAAGTACATTTTAGGGTAAAATAAGTGAAATAGAATTTTTCATATGTTATCCCCAGGAGCCACTCATGAAAATGCCTTCATCCTACTCAAAATCGATAAACTTTTCAACCCTCTTCGAGGCTTGTATGCGAAAATGGGGCACGTAAGTATGTCACTATCTGACGGTCTATTAATACAAGCTTCAAACTTCAGCAGATCTTTTAATACTGAAGAAGCATTGTATTGCATTTTTTGGCAGACCTATTTATGCTGCAGGAAAAGTAGGCTTACAGATAGTAAGTGGTGAATGAGAGGATGTGAACAGCATGAATTTCCTATAAAACCATGTGCTACCAAAGAATCATCATATCCAAGTAAAAATACAGACAATTGGTTGCAGGTTCTCCAGATTTCAATCAAACTGAAAACTGAACATACTAAATTACAAGCTAAATTATAACTTCAAATATTGAATAGTTTGCTCAAAGAAATTACTGAAAAATTGGTAGAATGAAAGTTTCTTATTCTTTTAAATTTGCCAGTGTTCCAAAAAAAAACATTCAACCATTTTCTTAGACGGAAAAGTCACGTTTATCTGAATGAAAAAAACCCTGTAATGAGAGTGATGTGTCTATTCACTTTATAACTATCTTATAAGTAGAATGATCATTAGCATTGCCAGGTTTTGTTTGGCAAGACTTTTCCGCCTAAAAATTAGATTGTACTTATTCTTCAATAACAATTAACATACCTTGAACATCTTCAGCAATAAGCCTGAACTTCCTGAAGGACCTTTCAGCATCATTGTCGTTTTGCAAATCGGCTAAACTTACTTCAAAAACACGGCCCTTTAGTCCCTCAGAGGCGATTTTGGTACCCTGAGTACGATTGACCAGGGTCTTGCCCACTTGCCTGGTGGCAAACATCGATGGGGCCTTAACATCGTACCAATCTTTACGAGTGAATGGATCGACTCTAAAATAGGTAATAAAATGTGCTATAGTGAGGTAAAAACACTGGTAACAGACTTCTACAAAAAATAAACATTCAATACTACATTTACCATTTTTTGGTGAAATTTTTAATTTGATAGATAGTGCATGTGAACATATAACGAATTATTGGTTTAGAGAAAGAATGTTTAAGTTAATATTTTAAACACCCCAAAAAACAAACCACATCTTCATAAGTCCAACCCCAAAAGCCTTCACACAAATCCATTTTTTTCCAATACATCCCCAGATTTTTTGATAAACTTTGCACAAAACCTAATTCTAGACCCTTTAAACTAAACATTTGTGTTAAAATTTTCTACTTACACCTTCTTTTTAACTCCTTTTTTGCCTCCTTTGGAAAGACCCTTATTTTTCCCGACCGCCATGATTGGTTATCGGCTTAGAAAAGAAATTTGACAAGTTTGACAAAAAGGTAGATGTCAACAAAATTCACATGTCACTTGCGGAAATCCTGCGATGATGCCGTTGCTTGCCAAGGATAATACATACTACTCTTCTAGAAAATAGCCTATCCTCATAAGGCCTGTGTAGAACCAAATCTGAATCCCCCACCTCGCCAAATCACCAGCTGTGACGTAGGCAGCATGTCGTTCCTCGCCTTGACGTAGGCTGTTTGCACCACAGGTTATGATTCCGCGGGCTTTTGCTTTGCATACTTGGCTTACTATTCAATCAACATCTAAACAACACTTTTTTAGATCCCGTTCCCATCTTCCTCTTTGCACATTATGTTAATCAAAATTAAATATTTTAACATTTTTCATCATAAATTTAAATTTACACTACGACCTCTAGTGCAAACTGCTGACGACTTGTTCCAAACAACTGGAGTGCGTTTAGAAATAGAGTGTGAAGGTAGAGTAGTTGTTTGTCAGAGTGTTCTGACGTCATCACTTGGAGTACACTCTGGATGCGCTATTTCTGAACGTATTGGGGCGTTGCAGTAAATGTCAACGTCAAACTCGTTAAAAACCAGTGTTGCCAATCGGCGGATTTTAATCCGATTTGCGGATTTTTTTTGAACGATCGGATTTTTTTCGGATTTTTGTAGATAAAACGAATTAGGGCACTAAATCGCTTCAAATCACAAAAAAACAACATGGCTGCTATAGCAGTGTGCAACAAAAGCGTTTGGTGTGGTTTTGCGATTATGGCAGTGCGTTTCTATGAAAAAAAAAACTTTCAAAAAAGCATTTATTAGGCAATTTTTCGCGAGGATAATCAAGCATAATCTGATTATGCTGGGTTATGTGATGTGTTAATTGTGTCATACTCCCCTAACTCCTCCATCAAATTCTGGGCTTGCGAGTGACGTCACTATCAGCAGATTATAGTGATGACGTCACCCGCAGACCTCGATGGAATGCTTGCGATTGAAATTTCATAATGATAATGCGGGTTAGGATGACCTTTATTTTTTCTTAGGAAAATCGGATTTTTTATTTTTTTTATTTTTTTACAGTTGACAGCGGCTTTTTTGATTATATGGCGTTGGCAACACTGTTAAAAACTACGGGGCGCTTTTCAACCCAGTCCCGGAGTGGGGTAATTTAGGGTCGATTTTATAGTCGCTCCTTGAAATTTCCTCAGGCCTTAAGGAAGCCTTGAACGTTTAGAATTAACATGAATAACTTGTCAAATAGTAGCGCATGTCCATTCTAAACTCACGACCTTCAAGGAAGACCAAAGGAACGACTAAAGTTTGTTTTTTTTTTAAAGATAATTCCCCAAGTCAAAAATTTACTAACTATGTTGGCAACATAAAAAATTTGAAAGCATTGTCAATTTTACATTGTATTGCCAACATAATGTCATTTTGACTTTTATCTTTAAAAAAAAAACAAAGTTTATAAATTCGGCCCTGAGGCCGGCTTCTCATGAGCGTAAACTTGACATAACTGGCGCAAATACTAAATACGTGAATTTTGGCGCAACATTCATGCTATGGTGTGGAGAATTAACGCCGAGGCGTATGTCAAAATCAATTTTTTTTCCTAAATTTTGAAATATTTCTTTGAATTTTGATTGTACAAATTTATATTTGTTTCTGCTTTAGTTCCAAATAGTTACAAATATGGACAGTAAATCACAAAAATCAAGAAAACGAAACGGTTGCAACCTTAACCTCTAAAAACGCAGAATTTTTACGCGAAAAGTTGAACTTTGCTCAACTTTTGGCGTATCTGCGGCAGAGTGTCAGCGTATCCAATATGGCGGGATTTTGGCCAATCAGAATTCTGCATTCAGGTACGCTGTCATGCCATAAATGTCAAATTACGCCCATGAGAAGCCGCCCTTAGGCGCACTCTGGGCACGTCAATACTCGATTTCTGAACGATTCCAGCGTAACGTTCCGAGTAAGCACCTGTTAATTTATAAACGGTTTAGAGTTACTCTAGAGTCACCTCACACCCAGAGTGCTATTTCTAAACGCAACCCTGTTGTTTCACTGGAACGCACCCTAGCGTCGTCGATGCACCCATAAAATTGTAGGTGCTGGAGTTGTCGAGAGAGGAAAGGTGCGCGAAATTCTAATGCATTGGAACGCATATAAACAGCCCGGGGTGCTCTAGAGCAGCTCAGGAGTGCTTAAAGTGCGTCACTGGAAAGCGACTCAGGGCTGCGTTCAGGAATGGCTACAGCCAAGCCAAAATTGGCATTTTGCGTTCGAGTTCGGCTCCAAACTACGTGGTTCGGCATTACAGGTGGAGGGGGAAAAGTAGGTTTTGGCATTAGCATTGCCGTCCTTGAACGCACTCCAGGTTGACTGCCGACCATATGCGACACAAAAAATAAAAAACGCGTTTTCAACTAAAACACGCGCTGGACAAATGTATTTAGAAGGACGCTGGAGCGGCTGCGACTCTCGTCAACGCCTACTGAATTTAAGCGGCGTTCCGTATCTTAACCAGAGATACCGAACGGTATGAAGCGGTGCGTCCTCTGTCCAGAAAATGCGGTTTTTGTGTGGAACGCTTCGGTTCAGCTTTGCTAGGATGCTATGTATACCTAATTCTTTTTTTTTTCAAAAATTCTATCCTGTACCTGATTCTTTAACAGGTCGTTGCTGTTCTCTGGGGTGTGATGGTTTAGCTTTTCAGGCTTGTTTTCTGGAAAATTAGAGGGCAAATATTTGAAGATGCTGGTATACTTTGCTCCGTTTTAAGAATTTCGTCATTGGGGATCATGAAATTCCTGCTAACCATTACGACAATAATCGTCATCATCAGCTTTGTCGAGTCGTATAGTAGAAGCGTTTTCTAGTTTCGTTTTTAATTATTGGTTAAGATGTATCATCTGAGAAACGAATATGGGGATTTCTTTTGGGATTTGTGAATGACAAAAAGCTGAATTTTGATTGGCCGAAGGGTAGATATACCCACATTACTACTACAGGATGACCTATCCTCATAAGGCCTGTGTGTAACAGATCCCCCCCATGCCAAAAAACCAGTTGTGACGTAAGCAGCATGGCGTTTCTCGCCTTGACGTAGGCTGTTTAAACAGCTGACAACTTAGTTATGACGTCGGCAATGGTTGAAAACCAATATGGCGGCGATTACCAAAAACGAGGCCGATAAGCACTCCTTAGAGCAATGAATTATAGCTAAAAACTGGAATGCGCACACAGTGCCATATCTGCCAAAAAAATGAAGCCATGAAAGACAGATGCCACAAGGGGGAATGTTGTTTTTTTCTGTTGCTCGCTGTCATATGACGTTTTCGAAAGTTTTGTCATATTTCCCTTCACAGGTTTCATCGATTGGAATACGTGTGGGAAGCAATTTTCGCCATTTAACATAATGAGTGCGACAAAAACAGGTATCCCCTCCGCAACAGCTGCACTAGGCTTCACGTTCGTCCTTATGTGTTAGCATTCCAGTTTTTGGTTATAGTTCATTGCCTTAGAGTGTATATTCTCCTTGAGATATACCTACCTAAAACGAAGGGAAATCTCTCGAGAACTAGAAATAGTTCTCCGAATCAATTCAAACAAACCCTGCACCGACTTTTTTCTCAAATACTTTTTTTTTCAAAAGCATCACAGCAGCTCTCAAGATATAGGAACCTCCATGTTTCAGTAGCGACGCGCGACAAGCAGTCTGGGGGGGGGGGGTAAATGGTACGCGAGGTTCAGGTGGAGTCCCCCGCAAACGCGTCGCAGGCGAAATTTTTTGCAAAGGAACCTGCACACCTCTTATGAGATTTTGGGATTTGGTCAATTTTCCTGAAAATTTGATATGATGTTCCTCTCAACATTCTGATTAGAAGTGTTCATAGCCATAACTTGATCCTATGACTAGTTTTCGAGATACAGGTGGTTTATTGTCCAAGAAATGCACACATTTTATATGCATTCACATCTCCTGTCACCTGAGCATGGGGATACCTGTCAATCCTGGTATAATAACTATTAGGTGATAGGTAGATGTAAATGCATATAAGTGTGCATTTCTTGGACAATAAACTACCTGTATCTCGAAAACTAGTCATAGGATCAAGTTGTGGCTATGGACACTTTTAATCAGAATGTTGAGAGGAGCATCGTATCAAATTTTCAGAAAAATTGACCGAATCCCAAAATCCCATAAGAAGGGTCCTTTCAAGGTCATTCACTTTTCCAAAACAATTATTTCCTTTGTGAGGAAATAAAACATAAAAAAAAAAATATTTTCTTCATTATATTTATCTATTTTGTTCTGGGCATCGTGATTTTTCTCTCGACTATTCGATCGTGGGGGGGGGGTAATTACCCCCGACGCGACGACCGTGCCATGTTTAACTTTAATATCTATGTTGAGTATTGAATTTATCTTTTTGCTTATGTGCAATAGATCCTGAAATCAGAAAGTCTCCAAGAGAAAGTCTTGTATATGCGCCACCAGAAAATAATAGAAAAGCAATTATATATAGGTACTAGGTAGGTACCTATTTAGCAGTTAGTGTGATGTAGGTATCATTTCAATTTATAAATTTTATATTACTTTAGTTTCTTGTTCATGATCTGATCTGGTTTTAATTACTATTGTTGAATGTATCTGAGTGAATTATTAAAACTGAAAACTGTATTGATTTTCAGCTGCAACATAATACTAAAATATTTAAGCTTATCAAAAATACATGACTGGAGTGCTATCGAAAATTTTTTTATGTGGGATATCTCATGACCAATTGAAAAGCTTAGTTAATGATATGTTCCGAAAGACTCATTATTTGCTAAATCAATGTCGATTGTTCAAATTATTATTTAAAATTCCCAAGATCTTGTATTTATTGACAATTTCTAGTAGATAAGAAAGAAAATATAGGTACCTAATTTAGCAGTTTTGTACTAATATACTTACTGCCTTATTTCCCGTCTTTCACACATGAGAAAATTGAATAGAAAATTGGTTGATATCAGAGAAACTTTTAGAAAATTACCGAATTATTCTGACAAAATAAGAGTATTGGACAGAGTGCTGAGTTTATCTGGTTCAATTTTTATGTAGGTTTGAGCCTGTTTCTGTAGGTTTTTAAAGGCTTTAGGTTTGCAAATGGTTACTGGTTGTCTGTTGTCTCATCTATTTTCAAAGCTTTGGCGAGGCTGGCAGCAACCTTTATGTTAAGATAAGTGATTCAATCACTAGAGCCCGTTTATTCGCGATTAAATTGCCAATGTTCCTATATTCCTTTGACGTAGGTACAGTAATAGATCCTTATTCCTAATTTGCTAAAAATAATTATTTTAACTATCCCATTATAATATACCTATACCTACAATATTATCCATAATTAAGTAAATGCGACCTATCCTAATTTACTTAAATTGCTGGCCAGCTTTAGCCTACCTAATCTCCTACTATCATTTTCCACTATTTTCTCCCTTGAAGAAAAACATTTAATTTGAAACTGTTCCCTGTATAAATTTATCAACCTGATCTAGTTTCAACGACTGAGTTTAATTAATAGTTAATACAGTGTACTTTAAAATTTATTCAAACTAATGTTATGTATTCCTAATACTAGTTTTTTCGATGTGAGTAGCTATCCCATTCGATTTCGTACTGTAATGACCCGGGAAAAATAAACCCGTAATTTACAATGTCTTAACAGTAAAAATTAAATGTAATCTAATAATCAAAAATTGAACTCATAAATCAAAACCAAGAAAAGATTAAAAATTAAATTGGTGACCAAGTGGCAGATTTCATAAACGGCATCGTTTGAGTTACCTATTCGTCCTCGCATTCTTTCAAATCTGTTGACCCCGATAATCCAAGAAATTGCGACATAAATTATTCGGTTTTAAACAAATAAATATATTTCTTGAAAAATCGGACGATTAATGAATTGACATGACCCGGAATATTTTTTGGGGAACGAAAAATATAAAAACAGCGGTTTCGGAATTTTGAGTATCAGTCCCAGTTGATCTTCAGTTCAGTCTTGAGTTTAAGTCTACAGTTCCTAATGAGTCGGTCCGGATAAAAATTCGCAGAGTTCCTTTTATATTGTTGCCTCGGGAAAACGCGTTAAATCGAATCTTTGAAAAGGTAACGGAAAATTGTGAAAGAGAACATTTAAATTCCGTTCAACATCATATGTGCGAGCTCTAATCAAAAAAAATAAATTAGATTAGTTTAGTGTTTCAAGGACGAAATGTAAGTACTCTAGTGACATGTTTATTTGACTTTATTAATGTCGAAATAACCATGAAGTGAATTGAATTTGAATATTTTTGTGCATAGTATAGATAGAGAAATATAATTCAAATGAATTTTACTGAAGAGTTTGGATAATCGAATTGACTGTTTTGATCAAACTGGATCACAGGGTTGAGCCCTTTGGATGGGGAAGGTTGGATAAACTTGAGAACCAATAGAAACACGGCAAGAAACCAAAGGGTACTTTCAGCGAATCGCTGAAAGCTAAGAGGGTGGACATCCTCGAATCTCGCAAGCCCGGTACTGAGAGGAGCCACCTTCTAAAGTGGTACCCAGAGGGTGGTCCCTTTCGCTTATTTAAGCAGATGTAGAGGCCACATAACTGGAGTTATCGCCAATTCGCCACTAGATTTTACCGCGAGTAATCGCCGGAAAATTAAGTCGCAAAGTCTCAACGAGTTTTCGATCCGTTCCTCATTCGCGAGTTCATTTGCCGCCCGGTGTTTTAGTGAAAGCTCTCCAAAGAGGTGATATAGTTTTTTTTTTTTTAATTTCCAATGAAGTCTGAGATTTTGAACTAAATCTTTTAATTGGGAAGTTATTTTTATTTCTTTCAATTTTTTTTCAGTTAAAAATTGTTGACGGTCTATTAATTAAATAAGGTATTCTACTTCGTTCAGATTGCTTCCGGTTCAGGAAACTGTTATTTACTGCTTCAGATCAAATTTACTTTTCAGCATAATTTACCACGAAATTTTAAGATGTGACAGAATTATTCACGATACCAAAATATCAATACATAACACCTCAATTTTGTCACATTTTCAACACGATCTAATGACGTTATGGATTTTCGACACTTTAGAGTTGTAATACTTGGAAATTTTGGTATTCAAGTTATCATTGAAAAACGCCTAGTTTTCGAGCTATAGTTAAAAACCTGAAAAAAGTGGTGAAAATTTAAGGTTTTTTGCAATTTACGTCACACTTTATTTTAAAAGTAAAGGTGTGGCGAAATTTCGACATTTTTTTGCTTAGCGAAACGAGTATATTATTGAACTATTGATTCTTGGTTGCAAACAACAACATTTCTCAAGTTATCTTTTTATCCTTTACCTTATTAAAAATACATGAACAAATGCTCCAATCGAATATCTATATAAGAATTTTCCTCATTTGATTTGTCACACCTAACGTCCAATCAAAAAGCTTCGAAATATCTAATAATATAACTATCTTCAAAAACATCCGTAAGTGAAATTCATTGTGTGCTAAATCATTCTTGCAGCAACATGTCCATGTTCGAGTTTATCAAAACTGCCAAAACCTTTATGCAATCAATATTGGCAACTTATCCAAAAAGGGAATTTTCATTGGTATATAGGTAAGATAATATTCTTTGACATTTTTTCTACCAATGTGCTAAAGATTTAGGTGCTTTCCTATTTCTTTTATTTTTCAGAATCCGAAACCTATTTTCAATGGGATTAATGATCACACTCTTCTCTTGCCTGACATACCAGGCAGTACTTCAAGTTGGTGACTTTCTCAATTTTTCTAAAAGTATTTTCTTTCAAATAACTGTTATGAATAATTGTATTAGAGTTCTTATTATGGCTTATAAAAGGAAGGAAATTTTGAAATGTATCGACATGCTGAATACTCCAAGTTTTGTAACGTACAACGAGCAATATAGCTTCGATTTCAAGAAGTTAAAGAAAATTTATGTTGGCATTATGTTCACTCATTTTACTTTGGCCAATATTAGTTTGTTTGGCTACGCTACATTTCCTAGTAATACTATGGAATTTTATTAGATTTTTTATGCTAAAAATATTTTTTTTTTTTAGTTTTTCAATCAAATGCATTATTACCTTTGGAATTTAGCCATTTTAACTCGGGAATATTTTATTATCCTTTTTACTTATATGAAGTAATTGCTATGTGCACTGTTGTTTATTCTCTAATGGGAACAGATTTTTTTAACTGGGGTTTTTTAATGATTTCTGGATTTCAATTGAGAAAATTGAATAGAAAATTGGCTGATATGGGAGAAAATGTTAGAAAACTACCAAATTATTCTAAAGAAAATTTCGAAAAGCTTTCTGCGGAGTATTTGGAAGAGTGCTGTTCTCATTATACTGATATTGAAGAGTAAGTTTTAAGGAATCAATTTTGTTTTTTTTAGTATTTAGATTATTTTCCTGTAGGTTTTCAAAATGCGTTCAAGATTGCTTCGGAATAATTTACGCCATACAAATGTTAGTCAGTTGTCTGTCTATTGCCAATACTTTGATGCTAGTTTCAGTAGTAATGAGGAATTATTTAAAAGTTAATTTTCCTATTTTATTTTACTCATTTTAGGTATCACCTCTATCTGCTGAGGCCTTAGCTTTATTTTTTTATATAATTTCTGTGTTTTTCGAGATTGGAGGGTATTCTTGGTGTGGAAATTTCGTTTATGATGAGGTAGAAATTGATTTTCTCGATTTTAGTTTAAAAATGTCATATTCTCGTACGCAAAATCGTTGAAGAATGTAGCTCATTCTTCAACGATTTTTAGTGACATAAGTACCTATTGGTATATCTTCAAATGTGAGTTTATAACGAATTACCTCTCATATAACTTCAAATTTATTAGATAAGTCCTATATAGCTAATCATTTTTAGAGTCTAGAAATTCTTACTTCCTGCTATTTTTCTTGTTGGTACGAATATGGTACAAGTATCAGACGTTCTCTTTTCATTTTAATGGAAAGAGCCAAAAGACCAATAGAAGTTCAAGCTCTTGGTTTGATTACTCTATCTTTGGAAACCTTTATTTCTGTAAGTGTTACATAATTATGAAAAGTTGTTGTATAATTATTTGATTCTAGATTCTGAAATGGACATACTCATATTTTGCTTTGTTGAGGGATTATTCATAATATGCTAAGCCTGATCATTTTTATGAGTATCATAATAATACTTAGTGAAGAGTGAATCATTATTTTAAGGTAGTTACAGTTTCTCGCTAGTAGTAAAAGTATTGTTCCTAACACGTGCGCAAAGTGTCATTCCCGCCCTTGAGCGAAGAAGAAACAAAAAAAAATTTACACGTAAAATGTCACTTTTTCGCACGCGTTCTACCGCACTCTGATACTTTGGAAAAAAATGTTCTGCTTGAAAATTACACATTTTTAACAAATTTGGATTGAAAAGTGATTCGCTCCCAAAGTTTGTTTGCACCCGCGATCAATATGCATAATGCTTTAAATCAAACCTCAAGATAGCATTGCTACTTATAATAAGCAGTAGGATATTGTTGTAGTTTCTCTGTATTTCAATAAAAATTAACAATCTTTGCTCTCATTTTATTTTATTTTTTCGAGTCTTCTGACCGCTCATTGCAAAATTAAAAACTTAACTCCTGAAGAGAAGAGAGAGGAGAATTGAGTGTAGGAAATTATCTTACAAACTGCTGCGAGAATCTGTCTGTCTCGCCTCCTTACCTAACAACCCTCTTTTTTCGAGGAGAGCATAGTGTTTGGATGCATGAGGCAGTCTAAGATTTTGGACTGATTGCAGACAGGTCTTTTGAGTGGATTTACAAAAAATATATTCCTTCATTCAAGAAAAAATAGAAATTGCATTGGCCAAAGTGAAAATGCGTTGCATCAGTAAATATGAACAAAATCTATCAGTGACTGGTCCCATCTTGGAGAGACATTTATAATATTAGGTCAAAAGTTTCGCTAAGGGAGGACTGAATTAATGAAATATTTACAAACATGCCTGACTCTGTTATCAATCTTCATCTTTGGGCAACATTCTATATTTCTCGTTGTTGTTGTGCATTTTTCCAGAAAAATTAAACCCTGGTGTTAATGAAAGTCCAAAACTTTTAGAATTTCTAGATATGAAAGCTTTTTTGGTGCCTCATTCTTTCTAAGCAGAACAAAAGATATCAAAATATGCTGCAATAATTTTGTGTCTTAGTCCTATCAATTCCGCTAGAAACCCATCAAAACGGAATATTTGAGACTACTTCAGGCCAAAAGATCATTAATTGCAACACCGTTATTGAAGTTCGAAAACCGTTTAAAGTTCATTCGTTATCTTCGTATTCGGCATTCGGCAAGATAAAAAATCCAATAAAAACTGGAAACTGAATACCTTATCATTAATTAATAATTATTAATTAGAAAACTTTTATTATAATCATCATCGCAGCCTGGGTTGCGTCCACTGTTGGACTTAGGCCTCACGTCCTCAATCCTGTGCTGGGGTCGTATTCTCGAATTCATTCGAGTACGTTTCGTACACGAAATTTGATTGACAGCGATGTAAATTAAATGGGGAGGTATGAAAGTTTGTTGCTCTATGGTTTGTTGCTTGGCGAAAAGCAACAAACTTGAATAAAACCTTGATAACAATTTTGCCTACACAATTTTTTCTCGAGTGGTATTCGTCATGACTATTTCACGTAAGATTTTGAAAATAAATAGAATGCAAAAATATGAATAAAAACTTCAAATTAAAAATATCAGTTTGAAAATGTCAAAAAATGGTCGCTGAAATACCATGTATTCTATGATACCATGTTGTTGGTATTGTCCAGGGGGTCGATTCTCGGGCCAGAGAGTAGAGCTCCCCAAGAGAATGAATGTTTTGTCCTTATCAATGTTATCGAAAAGTAAACGAGAATGATAAAGACGAAAAATTTGTTCTCTCAGGGATTTCTACTCCCTGGCCCTAGAATCAGCCCCCTGGTAGAAATATTGTCAGTTGAATACCGAATTTATTGCCGGTGTGGTGTAATACACTCTAGTGAAATAGTCAAGCTAATTACAGTTAAGGTACTTTGTTATAAACTTCTTGAGATGCAGAGTGAATATTTAAAGACTTAAATGCAGGAAAATCGGGATGTGGGCGAACGGCTAGTTTGAAAAAAATTCCAGTTGACATTTTGACCCACAGTTTTCACATCAATGAGCAAATGAAGGCCTACAAAAGCTTAGATTCTTACGAATATTTCGATTATGGCTTTATTTTAGATGCAGGAACAGTGGTAGTGAAAAATTTTCAAGTTTTAATTGGAAAATTTTAAAACAGAGGGCAATAAAAAAAGCCTAACATCATCCTTGTTACCTTGTTGAACTACTTCCACAATCAACTACAAGACACGTTTTTGGCATTTTTAATTGGAAGAAAAAGCTTTAAATTCCATACTCTCATATACGGGATAATGGATGGACTTCCGCCCACAACGGACTTTTTGACAGGTCGTTAGAATGCCTAATTACAGCTGCAGGTGGGTGTCAAACATAGAGTTATAGTCTGGCAAGTGGTAACTTGGTAGAGACGAAAGGGGGAAGAAAAGTGGGGCGTGACCTAAAAATATTCACTGACACCCCAACTGACACCGCCTGATGACAGCCATGTCTTTGAGTTCAGTGGCACCGAAAACACTAAGGAAATAAACCAATAAAATTATTAGAAAAAAAAAACTCTTGTTTCGCCGATAACCACGCCACTGCGTGCTGTCGTTCAAACTCTAACCAATAGAATGATGCCTGATGCCTCTGAATAATCACGCCTCTCCACATCCATCGTTTCGCAATGTTGCCGGATTTTTTTCTATTTCAAAATATTATACCTGCCCATATAGCAAAAAAAAATATGTCACCAACTTCTTTATTATTCTTTCCGTCAAGTTTCGCAAAGCAGCAAATTCTTTTGGAGTTCGCCGTTTGGCTAGCCAGACTATACAAGTATTAGTAGACTCTCCGTAGTATCATAGAATAGTAGTATTTACTTAAAAACGAAGTAGATAATACTACATTCCGAAACCAGCGAAAATTAGTAAATGCTTATTTTTGAAGTAAATACTGCGTAGCATAGGTATACTAATACTTGTAAAGTAGCAAGTACTTCGTTTTTATTCATGCCAACCAGTCCTAGTGACACCCTTTACAGTTTTTGAATAATCATACAGTTTTGTATATTCTCGTATGGTTCTTCATTCGTAGGTCGATCGAGTGTACGCCACTGGTATTTTCCTGTTTCTCACTACCCCCTCAACCTTACCATGTTTGTATAAATTCAATCCTATGTACAGTTTTTGAATAATTATACAGTTTCCTATGTACAGTTTTTGAATAATCATACAGTTTTATATATTTTCGTATGGTTCTCCATTCGTTGGTCGTAGGCCGATCGTGTGTACGCCACTGGTATTTTCCTGTTTCTGACTACCCCCTCAACCTTTCCATGTTAGTATGAATTCAATCCTATGTACAGGGTGGCCCATTTTCGATGTTTTAATGGGCTATATCGAAAACCAGCAGAGATATCAAAAATCTGGGAGAACATTCTCGAGCTCTTTTTTTGAGAGAATAACAATGGCGAAAACAAATCACGACTAGCTTCATGCGTTTAGGAAATACAGGGCGCTTTTCATATTTTGTCCAATACCAAAATACCTTCTACCCAACAAACACAACTTATCGGCGCAGTAATGTTGCTGTATCACGAACACAGCCCAAATACAGCACATAAATAGTTTTATCGATGCTGCGCAGCACTTGTTTTGGGAATACTGTATTTTAGAAGTGCAGTATTTGATATGCAGCGGCTTTGCAGATTTTGTATTGGAAAAGCGATAGATTTTTTCGATCTCCCATGCGCATATTGATGCAACAACTGTTGTAAAATGTTAGTGCAGTTACTGTAAAGAAATGTGCCAATTTGCGCGAGCACAGTATTTTTTGCCGTAGAGTTGTGAGCGTAGCCATTTTGTTTTATTTTATTGTATTGTATTGTTTCACTGATGCAGGGCAGCGTTTTTGATTTATAATTTATTGTTGTGGTGTTTTTCACGTGTCTTTTACCTGTGATTTGTATTACTACGTGTACAAGATGCATTATTTTCAACAAGAGGAAACAAGGTAGGTGAAAAATTGATACAAATAAACAAAAACAAAGGTCCCCGTATTATCATAACCTAAGTTTTCTATCGTTTTTCTATTTGTCCCCGTTTTCCGTTTTCTATTTTTGTGATTTAAAAAATGGATTTACAAAAGAGAAATAATCTTTCAGGTAAATAGTCTTGGAATACTATGGGGCAGAAATACTGAAGAAGTATGTAGGAACATATTAGCCAGATTATTATCTAAAAATTCAACTCCTCAGCTGAACTGGACAGGGCGCCTTCAAAAAGCACAATTTTCAGAATATACCTATAATATCAACATCAATAAAGCAATTTAGGTAAGTTGATGCAAGGTAAAACGGTTTTTAAATTTTAACTCAATTTTGTCCTTATTTAGTCGATAAAAAAAAATAGAGCCAGTCAAAATGCGTCTCAATCAGAAGCTGAAAAAGCCACCAAAATATGGTTAACGAATAAGGAATTTTTTTTGTTTAATGTCCCACTCCTCAATATATTCTATATACTTAAATTTGTTTTGTCATTTTTCAAAAATATCCTGTCTATATAAAATAAATTATGTCCATTAAATTTAGAGTGCCACAGGTAAATATACCTAAACGGTATATTGGCTGCACAGTTATTGCGAAACAAATATGTACGACGTCTGCAAGAGCGCTGCGTTATTGCTGTGTAAAAATTGCCTAATGAAGAGGCAGAGCTACTGCACAGTGGCTGTACTCAAATGCAGCATGAACAGTGCAGCGCCAGATGCCGGCCGGTGGGACATATATGGTCCGGGCTGATGCAGCTGCTTCGTCTACATCGCTGTACAACAAGTACAGCACAGTATCACAGTTTTTGCGCAGCGGCTGACTTTCCGTGTTTGCTGGGTAAAATCTGTTTTTTTTTTAAAGATAATTCCCCAAGTCAAAAATTTAGTAACCATGTTGGCAACACAGACCTTTTCTACATAAAAAATTTGAAAGCCTTGACAATTATACATTGTATTGCCAACATAATGTCATTTTGACTTTTATCTTTAAAAAAAAAAAACACAGACTTTAATTTCTTTGTTAATCAAGATACCTATCCAAAAACTAAAAATACTTTTTATAGGCAGTTTTTGAAGTAGAATCCAGTGGTATGACCAATTTTTTTCCAGATGCCACCGATTTTGGAATATTAACCAAAGTTGTCTTTTTTTAAATGGGACACCCCGTATATTATTTTTTCATTGCATAGCTCTTTTTGAGCTGATTTTTATTTTTTTATCTTCAATAGTTGCATTATTTTTGTCCCAGATACTTTTGGTGACGATAGTACGTATTCAGTGCATAATGAAAGATGGAATGATATGACATAACAGTGCAATAGCTTTGAGTGAACTTTACATGAAGTGCCGAGCGACTAAAAAGCGTT